GGCTATTTTTTGGTTGCAGCCATCATTGTTGTTTTGGCGGGCCCTGGAGAGATTCAAACCTGCCACCTTAAGTGTATGTGGCTGGTGCCTTAGCCACTTGAGCCACAGGCTCCGAGCCGGAAAGACATTTCTTGATTGGCTATGGCTAGGCATTTGCCTTATTTGATATGATCTGGTGGAAAATACCTACTTAGCTGGTGGTTTCTGATTGGTTAAATCTCCAGTTTTGTTTTACTGTTTACGTTGGGATTTGGTTTGGTTATGTAGGAACCCCAAGTGCTGGAGCCATCTCAGCCTAATGGCCTCCCAATTAAAAATTTTAAAACAAAGGAAATAGAGGCATAGAGAATTCTGACTGATCTTTCCTGCTCAATTTCTGAGGGATTACACCCAGCCTTAGAATGCAAGGAAGAGAAAGACCACCCTCTTGCCCAGTGCTGTGCTAATAAATGTCTAACAACAAGATCTCTGAAGGAAAAGGCCCTGGTGTGTAACATTGGCAGATTTCTGAGGTGTAAATACTTCCACTACGGTTGATTGCGAGCTACCAACACCCAGGAGACAGTGCAAGCCTACTTCAGCACACGCAGCCCCTCACTCCTTTTGGGTGACTCATGGAGCTGTGTCCAGGAGCTGTCTGATTTAGAACAGTGATCCTCAAAGAGTGGTCCCTGAAGGAGCCATATCAGCATCATCTGAGAACTTGTTAGACATGCACATTCTCTGAGCCCAGCCCAAACCTACCCAGTGCAAGACCCTCGGAGTCGAGCTCTGTCTGTGTTTTCACATCACACTTACACACTTGGGTTTGAGAACATCTGGAGCAGTGGAGGACGGTGCCCTTTCTCAAATCCAGCTGGCTCAACCCATCTTCTTGCAGTTGGGAGGATGGGGCTCATTTCCCACTCCCCAAGAGGTGGGCAAGCCCATAGAGGCCATAGAGGTCAGGTGCTCTGCAAAGTGGTGAGTGATTGAAGCAGGTTAAGTAGTCAATTCTGGGTACCCAAGGGAGCACCCTGCCAGCCTTAGCTCCTCTTCCATAAGATCATGGAGGAAGGGATCTCTGCATAGTCCCCCAGCCCTGGCCCTCCACAGGTCTATGAGATGATTTACTCATGGATTCAAAGTAAGTGTGTGGTTGGAAGGCTGTGTTCTGACTCCAGGGAAATAAATGGATAGAACAGTGGGACAGAGGAGAGGCAAGGTCCTTCAGCACTGGTCCCGCTGAAGAAGGGAAATGGGGAAAGAGGTACACAAAAGCATAAGACGAGTGGCACCTGGCCCTGGGTCTTAAAGAGTGATCCTAAAAGGTTCCAAATCTAAAGCATGTTCTGGGACTGACAAGGGGGCTGGACACCATCAATCTCTCAGCCTTTTAACCCAGAAGAACTGAGATGGCCCCAGGTCCACATCCCTCAAGTTCTCTGTAGGACATGTTTATAGTCTGGTGTCTGGACAACTTCCCCGGATTCCAATCCAGGTTTACTATTAACCAAAGACAAACAAATTAAGAGCCAAGTATCAGAAATGATGCAAGTTCCGTGTTGGCCCTGGGAGGCTATGAAACACCTGGGCGGTCAGCAAGGGTGTGATGTCACCCACAGAAACACTTGGCTCACGGGCAACTGTGGTCACGTGACCCGGCATGTGTGCCTTGGTCACATGGTCAGGAGGGAGGAGATTTCCCCACCGAACTCAGTGTTTCTGATGGAGAACCAAAGCACAAACAGAAACTGTCATATCACAACGAAATCTTCAAGTCATGTGATGAAACAGTTTTTCCTTCTCAAAGTTTTAGCCACAGACCAAAGATTCAGATTAAGCATTACTTAGCAGAATCAGTGCTGGCCTGCTTTAGGCGTCAGCTGGAAAGTCAGCTCCACTGCCATTTTAGTATCTCTCCTGCCAGGAAAGAAGCTCTCTAGGTAGGAGTTTTCTCAGAGGCAGAATACAGAATTTCTTTAGTAAAAATCCTGGTGTCAACACCAGCCTTCCTGACCTATGTCCCTGTAGTAGATTCCTGGACTTGGCCTCTCTGTCTGCCCACTGGGGACAGGAAGGAAGCCTGAGCCCACCACTCCTTCATCCTAGCCCAGAGAGGCCCAGGAAGCTTCAACCAGTTGCTGGTTTGAGCCGCGGGAGAGGCTGTACACGTTCTGCAGACATTCTGCTCAGAAAGTACCTGGTAATAAGTTACTGTTTTAGGAAGCAGGAAGGTATGAGGTATTGGCATGGGAGTGGGCAATAGCCTACCCCATTCT